CTGGCCACTGTAAAGCCTGCGAGACCAGACGGGTGCCATTTCCTCCGCCACGAGTGTAACCGCGTACAAAGGTCGAAGAAAACAAGCGTCGTAAAAAGGGTTCCGCCCTCCTTTTTTTTATTCTTAGATATAAACCCGGACCCCTCCCCTTCTCACCGTCTCTTCTCCCCTTTGGTTTTCTTTCTTTCTCTCCCCCTCTTTCTCTCATTCATTCCCCCTGTCCTATTTATTTAAAAAAAAAAAAAATGACAAAGGATGAACTGAAGCTCTGCCATCACGTAATGTCGCATACTGCTGTTTCTGATGTCATTTTAAAAAAAAAAAAAAAAAAAAAAAAAAAAAAGATATAAACCCGGATATGAGGCAGAAAATAAGTGGACGGATGGATGGATACAGCACTGGAAAAGTCTTTTTATATGTTGTTAGGAAAATGGGAAATAGTTTATTGGAACATAAGCAAAGACACAGAATATAGGGCACAAAAATGTAAAAAACAAAAACAAAATGTGTTTGTAAAATTCTATCCAGCTTGAACGACAATATTTGATGTGAACGCCTTTGTTCTTCAACGCAGCCTGAACTGTCTTCCATTTATTTCTTTAAGTCATCTTCATGAATAGTTCAGGCTTCTTGAACATTCACAGCTCTTCTTTGGACGTTGGCTGTCATTTGACGATCCGACAGTACAGCAGTAGTGTTGAGGTCCGGGCTCCGTGGAGGCCTATCCATGACTGATGGTGTTCCCAAACACATTGTCAATGCTTTTACTCCACTGACAGTGTGTTTGTGATCACTGCTATGCTTAAAAAATATATAGCTAACCCGAATACAGATAGCAGATCAATGGTGGTGGAGGATCAAAATCTGACAGGACTTTTTAAAAAATTCCATCTGTTTTAAGAAGGTCTCCAGCACCACTGGCTGAAATGCAGCCCCACTGCAACAGATCCGCCACCGTGTTTTACGGGTGGCTGCAGACACTCACTGTACCTCTCTCCAGACCTCCAACTTGTCCAGTTTCCTCAAATATTTAAGGAGACACTGGACATCAAACCAAGCTATGAAACTTCTTTAGCTAATAGCCCTTTGGGAGTCACCATGTTAGGGTGAAAACACTATTTTATGTTTGTCAGACTCTGTTATTTCATTGTTTGTAGATTCAACTAAAGAAAGAAAAAAAGATTTTTGTGTTTTGTTTTGGGGGTTTTTTTTGTGAGAAGCAGATGGTAATAAAATGCCTAAAGATACATTTTAAAAATGGTTCTTTGCTAAACTGTGTTATGTGTGAACACAGCACTGGTTCACCCCTTGAGCTAGATGCATTTTTGTGTGCTTGAATGATGTATAGGTCAGTGTTAAGTGGCTTAACAACATTTCTCTGACAATGGTCAGGTACAAGGACTGGACTGAAAATAAGTGAAAAAGCAGCCAATATAAAAAACAACAACAACAACAACAACAAAAATAACCAACAACTCATGAAGTCCTTCAGAAAGCCTGGAGAACTATTGTTCAAGACCATTTAAAAAATCCCAAGAAGGCTTGACTCATTGGAAGCAAAATGTAAAGAAATGAGCGTGGCTCAAGACTTTTGCACAGTATTGTATATATATTTATTATGTCATCATCAAACACACACAATGATGTAATCAGGCAAAATGTCAACCCTCCAATGACATATACAATTTAAAGGAAAAAGTGGTTATAGCCATAGTTATCATATGCATACTGAGGTCACAAGAAGCTGTTTGTGCTCATAGCCATGAAAACAATCCAAAACAGATGACTGGAAGAAACAAACAAACACAGGGAAAGAAATCTAACTATCACATGTGGCTTGGCCATATAACAAAGAGTGATTTACTCACCTCAGTTAATCACAGTTAAGCTACTTAAAAAAGAAAATCAGTGTGTAAGTAGAGTGGTTTGTGGTTGGATGAGTGACGCATGAGTTCAAGCGGTCTAGCTTCCAGCCATTTAAGGGAAAAAAGATTAGCCAGGTCTGGCCAGAGATGACAGTCAGCTGGCTGAGGACCTTTCCCAGCTTCACCCAAGGGTGTACTAGAACAACAAACTCAGGGGAAGGTCATCAGACCAGGGGAAAAAGAAAATCTCCCCCTTCGAGCAGTTGGGCTGCACACGATATACTCGGTAAGAAAATGTAAAAAAAAAAAAGAGAGAGAAAAAGTTGTAACATTTTACACAAATGTATACTACAAAAATGGATTGGTCGCTCCAGCTACTGGGTTATCTAAGACAAATAATGTGGGAGTGCATTCAGCTACATCACTTTAGAAAAGGATCCAGTGGAATCATTTCTATGAAATAACTTCTGGGTTTGGTCACTGTACCAAATCAAACAGATAAAGCATTTTAATGCTGCAGTAATGCTTCTAGTTTGTTGAAAGTTAAGTTCAGGAAAAAAAAATGTTGATTACCTTCTACTTTTGTTGATCTGTCTTCTTTAGAGCATCTTGGCTTGTCACGGGAAGGAAAAACACGGGCAGAATCATTATTAAATATCATTTATGTGTCCTCGGGGCCAAGCATGCGAGTCAGCATGCATAATACCAGAACCCTGAAACTGGCATGACATTATGAAGTATTTATTAATTCGAGAAATTCCACCAATTTTCCTGTCAGTCAGACTGTGTGTCGGGGGAAAAAGCAACTATTTACCAACCGGAGTCAGAGACACTCAAACAAGATTTGACCTAAAAGCCACAAAAATGATCACATGATAGAAATACCTCTACGCTATTTAAATACAGAGTCATAACAGGGTCACACAGAGGGTGCAAATGTAAACTGCCATTTAAGTGTCACTACGTCTTGTAGGGGAACAACTTCATGGAACATTTTTGTGATTAGACTCAACCTTATTTTTGACTCACTGCTTATGGTTTGACTTTCATCCCAGAAGCAGCAGGTTTCTCTCAAGTTTAAATTTCTGACACATCCTTTCCTGCATTTTGGTGGATTTTTTTCTGCACCATTTTCCACCTTTTATGCATCATGGTTGGAAGTGTCTTTATGTATGAAAAGGGAAAGTTTAATATCATCAGTACTAAATCAACACCTGTACAGATTTACTCTTCTGTGTTATTTTGTGTCAGCTCAGATTGACAGTGTAATGAACTGACTGTTTACCAAGCTATTAGTGGCATCTTTAATCTCTTTAAATGGGAACCTCTGAAGTAAATAAAAAACGAATTTATTTTCATTAATCAACGTCTGAACAACAACAGTTAATTTAAAATGTCGCGTGTCTGTGTTTTGTGATGATTTCTGGGAATCGACTATGCATTTTGAGTCTGGCTGAAAAAGGAAGAACAGACAACAAGTTCAGTTGATAAACTAGGAAGACTTCCAAACTTGGGGTGGGAAAAAAGTGGGTTTTGGACTTTTTGAATATAAAACAAATCTCAGTGATGAACATCCTGGTTTCTTTGCATGACAAGGACAAGCACGAAATGTGCCCGGACATTTTGTTGTTGGTTTCACCCAAGGGTGTACTAGAAAAAACTAAATCTGCAGTTTTTCTGCTTTGGTGTTAACAAAGGGGAATCAGCAGAAGTTGCTGATGAGCAGAGAGAGAAACGAAGCAGCAGTGAGGTCGACCGGAGAGTGACAGAGTAACAGAGTAAGAGTAAGGTTCCAACAAACAGATCCCTCCTTAAAACTGGACACAAATAAACCCCCAATGCAGAGAGGCCTGATACGAATTCAGTCTAGCAAGCACATTTTTTTTCCTTTCTAAAAAACACAAACGTGATAAGTGAAGGACTTGCAGATCGCCTCTGGAAACTGTACCTTCGAGAGATTTTAAGCAGTAGTTTTGTTTGCACTTGTCCTCACCGGTTTGGTTTCTTTGCATGACGAAGACAAGCACAACGTGTGCATGGACATTTGCCTGCATGTTGCCTGCTCCAGCACTCCATCTTGGAAAAAAAGGTCACACTTTTGGAGAAAGTGTCAGGAAAAACTGCTGTTGCATGGTAGGGCTCTCTCTTCTCTGAGTCCAGGGACACAGTTTTATCTGAGGCCAAAGGTCTAGAGTATTCAGTTGATGTCCCTGCAGCTAGCTGGACTGATTTCATGTTAATGGATTAGACAAGCACAAACCAGAACCATAAAGGGTTGCCTGTGTCACTGTGCCCAGCTTTAGACAGTATCTGGAGGTGGATAGTACAGAGGAGGGTGGCTTAGTTAACCCACTTCCTGTGGCTCCCTCACAAAAGCTCAACTCTTCTCTCCAAGCGCTGCAGATTCTCCACATCCCAGCTGGACAAAGTTTATCAGACTCAGATGGGCACTGCCCTGCCATACTGAACTTGAAAAATAGAAACTAAATATTGATCCTATCGCACTAGTATCGATCCACTATAGCAGGTTGGTATCATCAATATTTTTGTGACCACCTCAGTTCAGTTCAGTTCATTTTTATTTCAAACATTTCAAACATGTGCCTTCACAATCATTACAAAATATCATTACATCATTTGTTTGAAAAGGAGTTGTCCATACCCCCTCAAGTTTCACCATGTACACGATATTAGTGTCACCTCTGGAGCTGGAAAACTACAAGTAAAATCTATTATCTGTGGTACATTCATTGTTCATATCATACTCTTCTTCCTGGACATGCAAGCTGTAAAACTAAAATAAAATGTTTAAAATAAACACTTAAAACTGTCTCTTATAGAGTAATTTAAACAAAACAGCCGACTAAATAAAGCCCCGATTTTATTCTGACCTAAAAATATCTGCCACGCTGTAAGGAGGAGAAGAATAAACTCAGCAGCGTTACATAAACGTGCAAAAACTAATCTTGCCCAAAAAATAAAAAATCAGCCTTTGGCTGCATCTCCGGCGGTTGCAACAAGTGGTTTGACGGACGTTTGGTTTTCATTAGGTCGTCTCGACACTGACCCCCTGCCCCGTCTACAGTAACGTGAAACCAGCCCGCTGGCAGGCGCTCTGTGCGGAAGAGAGGCGAGCAGAGCTGATGCAGTCTGCACTGCTTTCACAACCCGGTCGGTCCGCGGGGCTGGACTGCGCTGCCTGCTGCGCACAGCGACCACAAGCTCCCCAAGTAGTGACCCACCAGCAGCGATGCGTGCTATGGCCACGCAGTAGCATTCACTGGAATAGATGGTGAAGCAGTCTTTTGCAGAAGGGATTCTTCTTGCTTTTGTCTCCCCTGGAGGTGCGCTATGGCAGCCATGGTGAGCTGTCAGAGTGGCAGAAGTTTACGAAACGGCGACTGGGGCTTCGCACCTCTGCTGGCTGCTGTGCTGCTCAGCTTTCTGCTTGCAGGGATGCAGCAGACCACAGCGTTTCCCACCTGGAGATTAGAGGTATGCTGTGACCACTTTTTCCTTGCAGCTGCAGAGTCCGGCACATAGTTGTGCTTATGAAGTTATTAAGATGCTGGTTACCTTTTGAAGTCACATAACGCCAAACTCCATTCAGAATTCTGCTCCATTTGCAAAACTGTTTATGTAACAGGAGACTACATACGGGGGTAGAAAAGTAAGGCTTATTGAAAGTTCATGGTGAAAGTGGCAGTAATGGTGAACCCAGCAATGAAACGCTGTTTTATATTGAGAGTAAGAGGTAAGGTAAAAGCAACGCACCATATATTTACCACAAATCCACAAAGGTTATTATCGGCTTTATTATTAGTTGTGCTGGCGGTGCCCACTTGACAATCAGCAAAACAGAGCAGCGGGTATCAGGAAAATACCAGATCATTTAGGAACGATGCACATCATTTTCTTTCACTGTTACATTATGCAAGAATCCGTGCAATTTCAAGCCATTCGTCTGGATCTTCAAAGATATTTTTAGCTGGAAATCCTCACATGAAATCAGTGAGTGATGGTAATAGGCATCAGATTCAATTATGTGAAGTTAGATGAATGCTGCTATTAGGTTATGTCTATGGAATGGGTCTCTGTGCAGTAATATCTTCAGCGAATTGGATAAATGTGTTTCTCCACACATTTCACTCAGTGCCACCCACCCGCTGTGACATAGAGCCTGAGGGATCGCTTTATGTCACTGCCTTTGCCACACGCTCTCATTATGTGTCAGTCAAGAAGCCCGCTGGTGGGGATTACACAACTTCATGAAGTTAAGTAACAGAACAACCAAAGAGCATTTCTCATTGATTTATACTGAAATGAATCGGCAATTATCCACTGTAACATACTTATTATTTCTATATTACTAAACGAGATTAACAATATTTGTTTTGACAATGTTCAGCCTCACTCTGTTTCATTTTAACATGAATATGTGCGTGTTGACAAAAAGTGCGACAGACAGTCTGTGTTTTGATTTGTGTACAGAAAATCGCTTTTGTTGACTAGAACCCTCAAAGTCTCTGAGGTTCAGATGAAAATCATAATCCCTTGTTTAGAAATTTCTGGAAACGAGGTTAAACTCTTCCAGACTCCCCAAACGATCCATGTGGGATTTGTCCTCAGATGTTTCGCCCTCTGTCAGCTCTCACCGCCGGCTCTGAGGTTTAGTCTAGAGGACTAGTGGGTTTGCGGTTCATCTTTATTTGTGGCAAACATGCCAGATGAGCTTTGTGGTGAATATAACAAGACGTGACACATTAAGAAACGCGCTGGCTTTAACACCTCATAAGTCACTGAACGCATGACTCCAGCATGTCAGCTGAGGTCGGGAAAAGCAACTTTTGTATAAAACAGTGACCTATGCCTTAAATCTGGTAGTGAAATGTTATATTTAACACCAAACCACGAGAGATCGTGAAGTTTAATAACGGTGTGGGACAGTCTGGCCACCCAAAGTACTATTTTGGAAAGGAAATGAAGGAAGTACTGCATCTGTTTGTCTTGACTGGGTGAAGCAGGAACAGGAACTGGAGGACTGGGCGTAGATTCCAAAATGAAGGGAGAGACTTTGATATTTTCTCTCCATCTTCAGTGTTTTTCCTCAGCAAGAAACTTATATTTATAAAAGAAAATTATATTTGTACTGGGTTTTAGTGTCAGAGATATTATATAAAAAAAGAGGCATGGTACTCAAAGAATCCTGGAGTTGTGGTTTTACAGTAGAATCCAGCTTTATATCCAAGTGACTTCTGAAGTAGGACCGTACCCCTGTAAAAGTAAGGTTTTTCTCTGATTGGCTGCCCCTCACAAACAGATGATGCAAACAGCCAATGGTTTGGGGCTTCGGTGGTTACAATCAGAGCAGAGTGCCTGATATGACCATATTAAAGATATCCACGCTTAATGACATCATAGAGAGGCAAGAGAAGGAAAAATTGTCTGAAACTGAATGGCTCACGGGGACAACTTGTGCATAATCTGACCTTTTTATTTGAACCTTTAGCCATTTTTAATCAGCGCATCCACGATTTAACAGAGGTTGTGTCATTTCTTGCCTGAAAAAATCTAAATGTATCAGTATTTATGCATGTTCTGAATGCTCGTGAAAAAGAATCCCAATACTCTTAAGAATTTGTGGTGTCTTGCTCTCGGTTTTTCACTCAGACGATGATTGCAGTCACATGGAGACACTGGTTAGTTTCACACCCAAAGAGACTTGGCGAGCATGACCCATAGCCTCGTGTTGGCTGCATGTTAGACCCTGAAAGGACATTTCTAATCTTGTTGTCAGACCACAGAAGAAACACTTAGTCTGAAGCATACTGAAAACTTTCACTTTGCTCCGCTCTCTACTATAAAATCTTGTTCATCCTCTTGCATTTCACCTGACACACGGTATTCCTGCTCATCAGTCAGGCTCTTGTAAAGAGCCAGGTATAACAGACCAAGTGGTACTTTTCAACAAAGTCAGGTTTAAGCCTATATTCACCCAGCGCCTTCAAAAGCGTGTGCTGTGCACGTGTCTCCCAATGACTGCCAGTTGTGTACCCTCAGCAGTTTCTCTTTTTAAATGTCTGCCTCCTTAAAACCCCATTAAAGCCATCAGGCAGTGCGAGAAACATTCCTGTTGTCAAGCACAGGAATGGGCTCCTCAACTGAGAAATCGCAGCCTCTCTTCTAGTGCCGAAAAGCGGATTTATTGCTCAAACCCATTTCCATAGAAAGTTATAGATTTATTGCGAGGTGTGATCACTATTATGGAATATCTCTGCAACTCAACATCAGCCGCAGAATATTCATGAAAGCATTAAAACTCAAAGCACCCATAGGCAGCATTTCAGTGTTATAACAGAGTCCAGACTCCAGCTGTCATCCCCCCGAAGAGATATCAGACTCAACATACTGGTGAAAAGTATCAAACTTAATGCAACTTTTTTCTTACTTCTTTCCTGAGATGGAAAGTTGAAAATATAATATTCACTAATGTGACCAGTTGAATCTCATTGAATTCTTAGGAAAGCCAAATGAGTCTTTAGGATTCAGTTACTCCTGTCACAGTGTGAGGTCATTCATTCAAAGTTTCTCTTTGTCCAAGGAAGAAGCTCACACCACTGTGCTGCTCATCGGGATCCGCAAAGAGGCCCGGTCACAAGTACTTCACCTCTCCAGGAACAAGCGCTACACCCTCACCCCGGAGAAGCTCAAATGGGACAAGTTCAAGCTCACATACAAGTATTTATTTACAGCCTGCGATGCACAAAAGCAATACAAATTAGGCAAAGGGAGAGCGAATGTTTGTGCTAAAAGAAACCGAGATGAGAGACCGAGGCTCCAGATTTCAGACAATCGTGCACTATAACTACTGTTGATGTGGGTCAGCTGCTACATTTTCTAATCTTAAGTCACTGTTTGCACTGAACCTTGTCCACCAAAAGTTTGTCGAAGCACCAAAAAGTGGTCTGAATTATCATCTGACTGTGAACACTGTAAAATAGTGAGCACATAGGGGATTCTGAAAGTCACGCCACAGTTGCTTGGCTTCCAAAGAGTTGGATTGAGCTGTGTTAACTGTCAGGAGAAGATCCAGTAACTTTATTCATCCTGGAGCTGTAAAATGATCCGCTAACGGGAAGATTAGATTGAGCTAGAGGAGCTCCAAAAACCGTTGGTTGGTGGTAGACAAACTTTTTTTTTTTAAACAGCTTAATTTAAGTAATTTTCGCACTAGTAAAATGGATGGTATCAACAATTTATTAAGTTACTGTCTAACTGTGATATTAGAAACTATCTGGTCTCACTAAAACAGAGCGGTGCTGAGGAATGTGGGAATTCTTTTGTGTCTGAACAGTAGCTATTGTGTTTTGGCAGATTCCTCAGCTGTAGAGGAATGTGTTGAGGGACAACTATTAACCACACCGTGCTGTTGTTTCCGAGCAGGTTGCTCTCCTTCCCTACAAACTTGATGAACGCCAGCGATACACGTCGGGGAATCGCCAAGGCTTTTGGCATGTGGAGCGACGTCTCGCCGTTCACCTTCAGAGAGGTGCCGGCCGACCAAGAGGCGGACATCAAGATCGGTGGGTGCATCTCTCCCTCAAAAGATGTTGCTTGGTTAGTTCTGAGTGCCAGACTTTTCTGTTTCTCCCTGCTGTTGTCGCCGCAATTTCTTTGCCTCATTAAATCGCAGCACTGCAATGACATTACCAAGCTTATATTCAACACATATTCATAATTCTTAATGAAAAAAAATGTCTAACAACTTCCAGACATATCAGCTCATGGCAAAAGTCCCCAAATTCTGCTTTATCTGCCCCCTTTGGGTGCAAACTCGAGAGTCCTGCATAAATTCTCAGAGTGAGTGAGAGGAATGGTCGTCATCCTCTGAGTTTGTCATTTGTGATCCATCATCTCCCCACTCCCGTCTCCACGGAGCAGGAATAATGGAGGGAGGGCTTCCCTCCTTGGCTCTGAGCTATTTCTCTCCGTTTCTCTGTTTTGGCAGGCTTCTATCCAGTCAACCACACAGACTGTTGGCAGTCCCACTTGCACCATTGTTTCGATGGCATCACAGGAGAACTGGCTCACGCGTTCTTCCCGCCAACAGGAGAGATCCACTTTGACGACCACGAATATTGGATTCTGGGAAACATGCGCTTCAGCTGGAAGAAAGGCACGCATCTTTATTGTGTTTGCTGAAACTTTTAATATTTCATGCGTGAAGTAATGAATGCAGCAGACACCGAGCTGAGCTGTCTCTGTTGCAGGGGTTTGGCTGACGGATCTCGTCCACGTGGCGGCTCACGAAATCGGTCACGTCCTGGGACTCATGCACTCCATGGATCCCAAAGCTTTGATGCACCTGAATGCAACTCTGACAGGGCGCAAGCTCATCACACAGGATGAGGTGTGGGGTTTGCACCGGCTCTACGGTTTGTTCACAGTCCTTATGTTTTCTCTCACACAAACATTAAAGGTCTTCTTTTTGTACTTTCATAACACATCTGAGGATTTGGGGGGACGTATGTGGTCTAGATGACACATTGAAAGGCATCCCAAAGCCTCTTGATTGAATGAATGAGGCCCATAAAGAGCTGGGATCAAGACACATGATGAGGCTGATGACACATATGGCAGCATCAGGATTGAAAATGAGCATTGAGTGTCAACTGGTATTTCACAAGGGCAGAAAACTGACGGTGCATCTGGGAAGCCTCTCAACAGCCTGACAGAAGAACCTGCAGGATAATTCATTCCCTCGGGCAGTTTGACAGGTTCAAGAATTCCTTAACGTTGTTGTTAAACATGGCTGAGGGAAAACAAGATTGATGCTGCCGCTGTCAGATGAGATGACGAATTGGGTCTAGACTCCAACTGGCCTTCAAACTGCATATGTCCTGTAAAGGACGCTGTCCAACATCCCACCGGGATGATTTAAGGCATTGCCCGGATCGGACGCTTTCTCAGAATGTAGTCTGATGCTGGTATTAGAAGCATCTAGATATTCCTGTAAAGGAGTATTGCTGCGCGCTTGTGATCAAAACCAATCATAATGTAGAGCACAATGTTTGCGTTTGATGACTGAAAGCGAAACATTAATGAATACTGTAAAAAATACTCACGAGTGGTCTTTAGCGTGTGTCATAGTGAGTCATTTTCACTGGCACAAAAAGCAGATTGTGTGTTCGTGTTTGGAGGGTTGGAGGTGTTCCAATTCTTTTGCCTGACTAAGAGCTGCCATCTGACCCTCCTCCTCACTTCATCTCTCCCCCCTCCTCCAGGATGTTTGGATCGTCTATTTATCTGTCCGGCCTGGGCTCGGAAAGGCTACTGCGAGAGCAAGCGCAGACTGATGCAGAAGCACTGCCCCTCCAGCTGTGATTTCTGTTACGGTAAGAAGCAGCAGTGGCAACGGCAGCAGGAGTCCAGGGGGAAGGAAAAAAAAAGAAGACAGAGAAAGTTTTCTCTCAATTGAGCAGCACAAGGAGCTGCTGTGAACCGTTTGCCAATGGAGCAACGGGAGCCAACAGGTCCAGCCATGCAGAGCTGCGCTGGAGGTTTTCAAGGGTCTGATTTGTAGGGAGATTACACTTGGCGCTGGGAGAGTCTGTGTTTTATTTCTGGAGAGTGGCAGCGTTTCAGAACGCTCACACAGCAGGGCCGCTACCTGTCGATTGCTCTCTCAGTGAGGGCTGCTTTACACAAGTGTCACTCATCAGACAACTGCCTCTGTAGGTTTATTGTGGGATGCTGTGGTGCAGAGATCTTTTTTTTGCACAACAAGAAGTGGCTCAGTTTTAACTATCACAGCCCCACAGACTGTGGCTTTCTGAGATTTTTTTGTCAGCAACAGGGGGACAGTGTGGAGAGAGGCAAGAGGATACGATTCCTGGCTCACAGTAATCTGTTCCTCATTGCTGATTGGGAGACGTTGTACGGCTGTGGAAAATTCCTGAGTGACTCCAAACCGCTGGAATTTCAGACTGTGGCTTGAGGGTTAGAGACACACAAGGTCAATTTGGATTTTTGCAGCATTAACGAGAGCGACTGTTTTTTAGGCAGACTCTGAGTTGATCACGAGGCGGCCTGTTGCGCTTGTCACCAGATGGGAGAGATTACACTGATAACACAGGCACACCGCCAGCAGGTTAGCAGCATGGATGCCTGACGTGATAACGCTGCTATCAATGATTTTGACAGTAATCAGCATTTTGGCGAGGCGTTTGTGAAAGCATGGGCGTTTCTGGGATTTAAAAACAAACAAAACATGGGGAACGCACGGGGGCTCAAATCAAGAAATTTATATATTTGGTGAAAAATAAATAAACAGAGTGAAGAAACCTGGCGTAGAAAACACTGATAAAAATCTCTCATGTGCAGCCCGACGCCCAGATAGACTATTATATCAAAAGTCTGTGTAGTGCCCGCACAGAATATCTTTCAAGTACTAAAGGAAAATGACTCATCAGGCAGGAACATGCATTCATTCATCTGTGTTTCTCTTTAATGTTGCTGCTAGAGAGGATATTATTTACTTATGTACTCTCGGGTAGTTTTACCTACAGTAATTCTACATTAATACAGCGTTTCAGCAGATTAAAACAATAACTAATAAGTAACTAAACCTTAAAAAATATGGAGTACAAATGACACTATGTGCATCCAAAATATAGTGGAAAGCAGAAAGCAGGATAACTTAATTTCTTAATTTTTTGCTCCAATAAACAAGACTTTCTTGTACTTTTTTAAAAAAGTTTTCTTGATGAATGGTTCGCCAGGCTTTCTGAAGATTTTTCACAGCTTCTCTTTGGACATTGGCTGCTTTTTCACTCGTTTGTTTGTTTGTTAAGTCTCATAAGACTGACCTATCAATCATTCAATCATAAAAAAGATGCTTAACTCAAGGGATGAATCAGTGTTGTGTCTACACATAACAGACAATCTTAGAATTACTGCCAGTATGTAAAAAAAAAAGCATCATCTTTTCCATTTCTTTAGTCAAATCTATGAAAAATACCAAAGATAACACAATTTGACAGGCATGGAATCGTATTTTTGCACCAACAAGATGATTCCCAAAGAGCTATTAGACAAAAACTTGGCATATCTCGGACCTCGACATTATTGAAGCAGTGTGGGATTGTCTTGACAAAAGGCAGCCAAAATCCAAAGAAGAGCTTTGAATGCCCTTTAAGAACCCTGGAGAACTATTCCTGATGACTACTTAAAGAAATGACAAGAGAGTTCAGGCTGTGTGGAAGAATAAAGGTGGTCATAACAATAATGACTTTCAAGCTCACTAGAATTGCACACAAACTCTGTTTTTGCCGTATATACAGTATTTCCATGTATGATTGCATAATTTCAATAAACTGTTGCACCTAGTTCACATTTTCCTTTCAGGCACTGCTGTGTGAGGAAAGGCTGTGACAGCTGGAGACAGTGAAAGAAACTGAGGTTTATGGTTATCACAAATCTTTTAGTTCCTTTTTGATCACGGGTGGGAAACATTTATTTCATACAGCCACACTGACTAAGTTAGATAAAGTCAGCCAAGAGCCACACACCGGCTATATGAATGGAAACACAGCTACAAACGTTGTATTATCGTTTAAATTAGCCCACATCTTGCAAGTTGTCACACTGCACATGTGTATCTTAAGATAATCATTTTATGGTTAAGAACACCAAGTTATGACCTTTGCATTTCCTGTTGTGGTGCACCAGCTCACCAGTGTTTTCTTTTCTATCCTCTTCAGAATTCCCTTTCCCCACCGTAGCTCCCACCCCGGCTCCCCCAAGGACCAAACACAAGCTGGTGGTCGAGGGCAAGAAACTGACATTTCGTTGCGGGAAGAAAATAGCATCAAAGAAAGGCAAAGTACAGTGAGTGTCTCTCTCTCTCTCCCTCCAATATGTTATCAGTATACCTGGTTACAGTGATGCTACAGTATTGCAGTTGCTGAGCGCCGTCTCTAACGTGCGAATCCTGTTTCAGCTGGTACAAGGACGGGGAGCTGCTGGAGTTCTCTCACCCAAACTACATCTCACTGAAAGACGACCACATTACTATAGTGGCCAACGCCATCAACGAAGGCACGTACACCTGCATCGTTAAGAAGAAGAACAAAATTCTCACTAACTACTCGTGGAGGGTACGCGTGCGCTTCTAAAGCAGAACAGCCCAGCTCCTCTGCACACTGAACAGGACAAATTCACAGATGGTCACCAGGAGACCTCACTCACTAGGGCACATACTAGTATTTTTTGTTTTGTTTTTTAAACGTTCTTCCTGTATCCACGTAAAATTGTTGACCGTCTTTGTGTAAATGCGTTTACATCTGTGCAAAGAATAAATGCTCTGTGACAGATATTTTTTACATTTTTTTGTGGAAAACACTACCTGACTGTAAAAAGCTGTTTGTGGCAGATGCTGTGGTTTGCATTTTATTTGGTGATGAAAGTTCTGTGCAGCTCTCATCAGCTGTTCGGGACGATGACGTCAGTCTGGATTCATCAAGCCTGGACTTCTTCAAAGCTCTTTCAGCTAAGGCAGCTGAAGGAGTCCAAGGCCACCCACGGGATTCCTCTGAAAAATAGGGACTAATTAGTTGCACAGAAACCCAGAAGATATTAGTACTGTTGGGAGAACTCACCATAGCCTTCTACAAAATGTCCCAAATGTCTTTTTTTTTTTTTTTTTTTAATGGACCTGAAAAACTTACAGAAGCCCTTGCTTTAGATGCATAGCATTCAAATAATTTACACACTGCCCCAAGTAAGCTACTAAAGCCAGAATAAACAATGTTGTCTACAGCCTTTGGAACCATTTGGACCTTAAACCGCATATGGAACACCTCAGACGTCTAGCTTACTTTACTAGTCGCACGCTGAGGCCAATAGTCTGCCTCCAGGGACTGAGCAGTCAGTTCCACTCGCAGCTCTCTGTCCAAGCTTATTCAACACATCAGGTGTAATAATCTGCAGAAAGGCCTACGGTGGGTCCAGGGGATAGATAAAATTGATTAATGAATATTTCCATTTAGTGCTGGCTCTGCGAGCCCCAGGACAGGAGGGGCCTTTTTTCAGTACCTGTTCCAGTCCTGCAGGGACCCGAGCTGCACTGTTTATTTTTCTTTGGCTCGAAATCAAAGAATTTATTTGTTTCATTCTGAAGTCAGAGTCATTTAAAAACAAAAGCAAAGCAAGCCGGGGCCTTTTTTTCCCCCTGACAGAACAAAGTACTGAGACAAAGTGGTGCAGCACAAGGAATGACATCACTTTTGGACAGCAGCTACCAAGCTGGTTTGAAGGCTGCATTTCTTTCAGGCTCGACTTCCCTTCATTTTTTTCCCCCTCCTTTGGCAGTGTGCGGTTGTGTTTGCATAGCTTGGACAGAGTTTATAAATATGGGAAAAAAGGCAGACAAAACAAAGTTTCAAACTTTATTTGTAGCAAAAACATCAGTTCCCTGTCATCAGGAGAGCTGACATTCCCATTTAAATTTTAACATTATGCTGGATGGAACACACAGCAAATGCTGCATCATTATACAGTAGCTCAGGCAGCCAGGAAATACCAACCATTTATAAAACCTGGTCCTCTCTCATGAAATATAAAAGGGAAAATAAAAGTCAAACATGAGAGAAACACTTTCGAATAGATTTATGGTTGTTTCTCCTCTTTAAGAGCTACAAAGGTCACATTTCAGTTAGTTAAATGGCTTAATATTTAAAAAAAAAAAAACCCAAACAGGAAGAGTGGAAATTCAACAGGTTTGAGCCATCAGTCTTGCTGTGAGACAGTCTTGACTATGTGGTAACAGTTGTAAATGATCAGATACTGATCTGCTCTAAAGCTGTAAACCAGTGATACGATCCGGTTCCAAACAAAAAACAAAACAAAACAAGAAGTCCCATGAGTCTTTGCTGGATCTTTTCCTGTTTTCCAGCTGGGCGTCCTGAAGCTTGAGGCTCAGAACTTGAGGCTGAATCCTGGACCGACTGCAGATGCCCCCTGATAGCTGGTTGTCAGGTGGAAGCCAGTATCTCTCAGGTCATCATCGCCCTACAGAGACAATGGAAACATTCACAACTTGTAATATTAACAAAAACTTTTGAAATCTTGCACTTCTTACATGCTTATTACAAAACTGACCAATATTATTTTATGACTCTAGTTACCTTTGGAAACCCCTAACCTGAATTTAATGACGGATTTGATTACAACTAACAGTTTGTATTAAGACTATTATTATTAACACTCCAAATACTTAATCACAAGCTCAAGCTTTTTTTTCACCCTGACGAGAAGAAAAGTGAGACAAAAATACACTTGTCATGGTCTAATTGGCGTGTAAGGCAGCAAATACCAACACTTAATTCCACTGAAAAATCTCAGTAGTGGCCTTAAGCTGCTGGGTGAGCCGGACCACTGCTGAAAACATTAGGAACTAAAAAGTGCTCATCATGGAAAACACGAGGAGGAAATACGCGGACACAAAGCAGAAGCCTGTAGGTCTGTAATCTATTTAACACAGGCAGCGTTCAGAAAGCCTGGTAGCTGTGTGTAATGGAGAAAAGTCAGGCCTAATGCTCTTACCAGGTGACTGTAGCCCAGGCCTCCCTCGGGTGGACGAGGACTGGTGCCTCGCTTCACCCTCTGCTGCTCGCTCTTAGCCGGCCAGGTGGGGAACATCGAGGAGTCAATGGGGAGAGGAGACTCCCTGAAGTACTCATGTTTGAGAGCCTCATCTGATGAAATCCTCTTACTGGGGCAGTAGGTGAGGAACCTGGAAAACAATCAATAATAATTTTAAACTTATGTTTTAGCAGCGTTTCATCAGAGATGCCAAACTGCCTCGGAGAACTCAGGCTTCTTGTGTGGACAAAACTGCCAGACCTGCTCTCACCTCAGGTTTTTTTTTTCTCTGCTATTCAAACGGGTCTGCCTTTTAGCTCAATGAAGGCCAGTTCCACAGTTGGAAAACCAATCAGGGCTCTGTAGGTAGGATTAACCATGAAGGAGCGATCTTTCTGTGCCATGGCCAAAAAATAGTGACGAGAAATGGCCAGCAGAATGACGCATGCATGGATGGGATTGACGCAGCTTTACAGGTTGCTGTAAGTTAACAGCGCCTAACAGCTAATTAATGGTTTCTGTGTAATCAAAGTCCTGCTGATGGTTGTGTCTGATGCGAACATTTGAAGATTACACATGTGCCAGCTGACTTTTACTTTATTGGGTCACAGTCACACTGAGTAACGCTGGCATATAACTGGCATCAAAATGCTCGAAAAGCTCCATTTCACCGTTGTTTGCCCTACTTTTTCTACTCTAAATGATGTCAAAAAATTCATATTCACAATGTGGTTGTCTACAGAAGGACTACCCACCTAATCTTCAACGTCCCCAAATAATATTAACAAGGATCACTCTGATTATTCTGCAAAGTTACTCTTACATAGTCAAAGAACAAAAATGTTTAGTGTTTAGTGTATAACAGGCCCTGTAGCGACACAGTCTGAACACAAGGTGTGGTGCTGATGCCAAAGGCCAGAGAGTTTCTGCAAACAGTCGTAATTATACATGACAGGAGCAACACAGACTCAGACTGTGTCTGAGGGGAACCCTCCGTAAGTGAGTGCAGACATTAAACATAAAAGATTTTACAAAACAAATGATCTCTAATTTAACGTGAGAGGATATCTACAGGAGGATTAATGGCTGGGATTAGACAGACACCAGGTCTAGAAGACAAGAGCACTATACTAGCAACATAAGACAAAACCTGCTACTTGTGTCCAATGCACCATTTTGTTATGGAATTACAAAAATGTGCACTCTTCCTGTCCTGTAAGCTTGTTCCTTTTCTTGACTGAGGACCCAGCTGCTTTTCATTTGAGGACTACGGTCCTATTTATGCACGGGACACCAGGTAATGGAAACTCATTATCTAACAGGATAGAAACAGGACAGAAAACAGGCAGGATTCTGGCTCTCTAGGAGGATTAAAATTGGGATCTCTTAACTACTACATGTTGAAATGGTAAACGTATAACAGGTTAAAGAGTTGTGAATTGAAACCTCCTTCAGTTAGACACTGAATCTGGGTCTTCAAATGCTTTCACACACAGGAGAGGTGTGATATTGCAAACAACAACCAAAAAAACCATTGCTCTGCAATGTCAACCTGCCAGATACACCTCCAAAGTTTCTCTGTACTGCTCCGTTGTGAAGCTTTTCTAACAGCACTTCCCTACGTGTTGTACACTGACAGCTGAAGTTTCAGCAATTTTGGAAATGAACCAAATTTCCACCAAATTGTGGTTCCTCACACAGCAGCACAGCAAACATGTTGTTACCATCCTCTGCAGCTGGGAGCTAGCTGACCAGCATGGTTTTGTCATTTACAGGTGTAGAGAAAAGTTTCTGTGGCTGGTTAAAGACCTGAGAGGAGAGTTGAGAAGCTCATCTGCGCAGTGCAGAACAATGCTGATCTTTGGAATGTGAGAGAAAGAATTATGAAGCCATCACTGATTTTCCCTATTAAATGTGTGTTTTCTAAAACATTTTCCTGTACTGTGGAGCGTCACCATGGTGAGTGCGTGTGTGTGAAACGGAACAAGGGGGATGGAACTGGACTCCTGCTGGGATATATCCACTACTGCTGTCATGTTTTAAGAAAGCTTGCCAGAAGTGCACCGACTAAATAAAAAGCTGTGGAAAGAGTAATAGAATTTGACAGGGTAGAAAAGGGTTCGTCCAAGTAAGGCAATTTCCACTGCAGGAGCCATGCTGATTGTTACCTAATACATGCTCTTCATCACTGTATACCAGTGATATGTGTTCTCTCAACACTGAAAATTTGCCATCAAATATTTACACAAGTCTATGGGACTTATTCTCTATTCCTTAAAAATGGCTAATTTATAATGTATTTGACCTTTCTTTTCAAATGGTGTCTTTATGGTTTATAACCTCTTTAGTATCTTTTGAAAACACAGAATCTACAGACACATGAAAACAGACAATAGCTGCAATACTACAACCTGACTGCAGTGCAGTGAAAGGAGTTATGTTTCTTATGCAAGAGTAAAAAAAAGTCTCTAAAAATCCTACTTGTTCATGAGGTCAAAGCCTTGGTCTGACAGCAGTGCTCCAAAGCGCTTTCGCAGGTTGTTGTAGGGGTATTCTGTGAAAGTCATCTTCTTCACAGCGGGCAGCTCGCTGTAGCCGGGCCAGATCTTCTCGCTGGGCGACCCTAGATCCTAGAGTCAACACAGACAAGTCAGCAGACATACTTTTAGTCCACTCCCCCCAAAAAAACAAAACAAAAACAAAAAGTGGACACGAGAGATTCCCAGTTTGGCTGATGTGCTCATTAACTGCAGAAGTGGCAAGTAGCCAGTCCTTGGTGCATTTCAAAACTGATCACTGGTAACAACAACATGGGAGGCCCAGGTAACATCGCTTCATATTGCTGTTATGCCTAATTTAGATCATTTAGTGTAAGGTATAACAACATCATCTGGGGTGACAGCTACCAGCAGCTCCACCCTGTGGTTCACTGCAGAACTGCACTCTGACAGAAAACCTTACAAGCAGTAAAAAGAAAAGCTTTAATATTTATAGTGACAATACCCCACCTTTTATAAGCACAAATGAAAGCATTTACCTTGAAAATCTTGTTAATTTGGTCAATTTCAGATTTTCCAGGGAAGAGAGGCTTCTGGGTGAGAAGCTCGCCAAATATGCAGCCCACTGACCACATGTCCACAGCTGTGGAGTATTCCTGCGGAGAGAAGAACAAACACAGTGGCAGTCCACAGAAACATAAAGTAGACTGTCTGCCTGGCACGTTCCTCCTGGAGTTTATGTGAAAGTGGATGCACACTGATGGGTCGCTAGGCCTCTGCCGTCTGACGGCATAAATCATGCAATGTAAAACTCTAATAGCATTTTGTGGTATTTGGTGTGTTACAAGCCAAATGCTCAACAGATGTTGTCTTCTATTGGAGAGATATGCCTTTGTGTAAAACAATCAGTCAGGATGATGTAACTATTATCTATGAAAGGCCATCACTTTACTGTCTGTAGTTTCAGCTATTGTATTCAGGATTCATCAGACTCCTGCAGTGTGTGAATTTGAATGCTCACCTTGGCTCCAAGCAGCAGCTCAGGCGATCTGTACCACAGGGTAACCACCACCGGGGTGTAAGGCTTCAGGGGGGAACCGTACTCCCGGGCCAAACCAAAGTCACCAATCTACAATCCAAGACGGATGAGGAGACCTTTGAAATGCTCTAGTTTGGGCTAAATAACAGTATTTCAGCATTAAAGATGTTTATATCAAAATCATCTGACCATTAAAGAAGAAATCAAATGACTGCAAATCCTGGCAGCAGGGAGTCATATTCAATTTGAAAAAAAATTACACAATCGAGTGTAATTCACATTATCTACTGCCAATTTGCATAAAATTCACACCAACAAGTGTCTGTAAAAATTTTGTTTATTTACACATGGACCCAGTCTTCACTACACTTTGCCAGAAATTCATGCTCTAATTGAATTCTACTAATCATGTGTTGTTTATGCAACTGTGTTCACGCTGCTAGCTTGTTGGAAAGACAGATTAATGAAATCACCTTTTGGATTTCCTCCATTACTATGCTTTAAAAACAAATGTGAAAGATAAAAAAAAAATGTAAAAAAAGTGAGACAGTATTTAAGAGTCAAACCAGGACTTTTAAGTGTTGTCATCTAGTGACTGTTCTTAATGAAGACTAGTGATAAACCAACTATCAGTGTCTCAGGTTTCGTTCACACTGCAGGTCAATTCAGATTTTTTGATCAAATCCGATTTTTTTTGTCTGCTTGTTGACACTACAAATAAAATGCGACAGCAAACGCACTCTAGTGTGAACCCTCAAAGCATGTGCAAAAGAAGACGTCACACACAACGCGCTCTATTTAGACCCAGAGCAAACAGTATTGTTTGACTGATGGCCCTTAATATAAAGACTTGTTTCTGACTTTACATTTAGAATTTTGCTTTAAGTTATAAAGTTATTTTGTTATTTACATATGGCCTAATAATTATCCTTATTGCTGTTTTAGAGAGGAGCGGTGCTTCAAAGGATAGTTGCTGATTTCTGTCAGAATCTGCAGATTATACAGTACAAATAACATGTTCACGTTTCTCCAACATCGTCTTCCCAACAGTTTCACTGGATGGCCAAGAAGCGTTCACGATGTCTTCTCGGGCGCTTTTCCGGCGCTGATAATTGGCGTCTGTCTTGTGTCAGTGACGTAAAAGACTGATTTAATGCGACCTGACCATTCAAACAGCAGTTGCGTTCTAAAACATCAGATATGTATCTGATTCATTACCACATACGAAAGTGACCCAGATCGGTTTTTAAAATGTTGGATTTGTGCTGTTCACACTGTCATACCATGATCGGATATAGGTCGCACAGGGTCAAAAAAGTCGGACTTGATGCGCTTTCGCCTGCAGTGTGAACGTAGCCTAAGGTTACCACACCATTAGTCCCTCAGAGTTAGAATTGCTCTCCTGGTATACCTTGAGAATACCCTTGTGGCTCAGCAGCAAATTGGACGTCTTCAGATCACGGTGAAGAATCCAATTATCGTGGAGGTGTCGGACTCCTCGGAGCAACTGAATCATCAGAGTCTTTACTTCTCCTGGAAGAGAAGGTGGCACATTGTACAGTTAACTACCTTCAGAGGTAAACCCAGAAGCAAAGAAACATCTATGAGATCTTACATTCTACTGAAGTCAGAAGATCTTTTTTCAACCTTTCTCTCACACAGACATACACGAAAATGGATTCAAGCAATGTATCCATTCTACCTGGCAGGAAGGGCTGCTTCATTGTTTCCATCAGACTCTTCAGATCATGTTCTACATAGTTCATCACAATGTAGATCTTGTCCATATTGCTTCCAACAACTATTTCCTGATAGGAAAGGATTAGTTGTATGTACAAATCATTAGTAGAAGCTGTAAATGGTGAAATGTTAATCGCTAAGCAAATATCAAAATGTTTTCTTACCCTTACTGTGACAATGTTTGGATGTTGAGCTTTGAGAATTGTATTGATTTCTCTTAAAGATGTGATGGGAAAGCCCTCCTTCTCCTTCTCCATCTTCAGCCTTTTCAGCGCAACAATCTCATCTGTGAACATGATACTATAGTCAGTTTTACTAAAAACAATAAACCCAGCTGAAGAGCACAAAAGCAAATAGATGAGTATCTTTCTTTTCATACCGGTCTTTTTGTCCTTGGCTCTGTACACCACGCCGTAGGTTCCCTCCTCTATGCGATTCAAACACTGAAATTCCTCAACACTGCGGCAACCCTGAACACAAAATGCAAGTCAAGATTATAACATACAGAAAATGGGCCAAAAATAATAACATACATCCATAATTTGCGCTCATATGGATGATGCGCAACATTTGTGACCCTAACCTGAAAAGCCGGCAGATATTTGGGCAGCTCCTTCTTCAGCTCCACAGGTGAGACTGGGGGAGACTCTGGGATGTAGTTCCCTTCTGGAGTGGCTGAACGGGAATGAGTTTGAGAGTGAGGGGTGGGTTCCCCCTCTCCTGCTTCTTCTTCCTCCTCATCTTCCTCCTCCTCCTCCTCCTCCATGTCCTCACCACTCTCTTCTGAGTCATGGTCAAAACGGGACTCTGGTACTGTGTGGTAAACGGTTACATGTTATAAATAATAGGGGTGCAACGATATTCGTATCGATATTGAACCGTTCGATACAGTGCTTTCGGTTCGGTACGCATATGTATCGAACAATACAATTTTTTTTTTTTTTTTTTTTTGTGTCCCGTTTGGATCTATAGCCATCAGAATTGTTGTCTTGAGGCCAAGAAAGATGCCAAGAGGATTTATTATAAGTGGATCATCATATTGGTCCATTTGATTGACCTTTATTATAATTATGAATTTATTTTATTTTCAGTTGCAAACGGGACAGACATGACTGTGGGATAGGACAGGGGGAAAGAATGAAAGAAAGAGGGGGAGAGAAAGAAAGAAAACCAAAGGGGAGAAAAAAAAAAGAACAATACAAAATTTGTAATTTATTTGATCAACTTTCCTTCTGACGATGCTGTCTGTGTTGAGCGCTCAGTGAATCTGCATTTGACTACTCCGCCTAGGCTCGAGAGTGCAGCCTAGGCGGAGTAGTCGAACGCAGATTCACTGAGCACTCAACACAGACAGCATGGTCAGAAGGAAGAGCGCAGGGCAAGCTAGCGAGACAGAAGTGGACCTCCCCACCCTCATTCAGATCTGGCGTTTGGAATTATTTTGGTTTTCATGTGACGTATGACCCTGAAGGTAAGCGAGTCATGGACTAAAGTAAAACAGTATGTTGGATGTGCCATGCAATGCTCAATTACATGGGTGGGAGCTAGTGTGTTAGCGCAGTTAGCTCGTTAACGTGTTGGCCGTCTAGCCCCTCTGTATAGGGTAGCTCGTTAACGGAGATTTGCCATGTTGTGGCGTTAAGGTTATTTCAACGAGATTAACCTGAAAGCACTAGTGGGAACACAACGAATATGACTGCACATTTACACCGACATCATCCTAGTGCAAAGACAAAAACAACAAGCATGCATGCTACAAACTTTAGCCGAGTCATTTAGACAGCTGTTAGCACAGGATTCTCCTTATGGAGACCTGATATGTTTAATATGCTGCTGAGAATAGAGCCCAGAAGAAGCGGATAGTATAGCTTTTATTTTGGAAAGAGACATTTCTCTGTAATAAACTCTCTTTTCCAAAGATGAGTGATTCCTCAATCAGATACAGGGCTCGCAATATCGCTAGCCCGATGTCCCGGGGCTATCTCTGCCCTGCCTGTCGGGCTATTGTAGGAAGGAAAAATATATGTCAATGCTTTTGCATTCTTTCAGAAATGTAGCTGGGTAATTATGTCATTGGGTGAGCCACTGTCAATATGTGACATATTGAAATCGTGTTTGAATTTGCGCTTGTTTTTTTGCTTTCACTTTGCAATCGCGCGAACTGTGTATAGAGAGCGACAGCACTGATCTGTGAGTGATGATAATTTGTGCACCAATTCCTCTGACATCGTCTTATTAATTGTTAGCTTACTATGCAAACATGACAAGTGAAATCTCCCGCAGCTTAAACATGTGAGAGGTTGATCGCGCAGAGAATCGCTGAGCTTATGTGAGTGCGGCAGGATATATATTTCACTACGATGACCTGGATGATTGAGAACCTTCACAGACAGATATATATTTTAGTTCTGCTGAGCCAAATAAGACAGGTCAGGGTGAAGAAGTGACAGCCAAAGAAAAGCTTACCACAAAACGGAGAAGTTATGACAAATCAGACTATAAGGCAAAAAGAAAGTGCAGCTTTATGGTTTCATGGACAAAAGAATTTCTGTGGCTGCGATATGACGAGCTAAAAAACAACACGCACAAGGGTTAGGGTTAAATTTAAAAACTGTACTTTTGAGTTAAAATATATATTTATAATTTTAATAAATGACAAATTAAAAAGGCATGAACATTTTTTTTTGTATCGAAAAAATATCGAACCGTGACACCAAAGTATCGAACCGAACCGAACCGTGAATTTTGTGTATCGTTGCACCCCTAATAAATAAGGTATGCATTTTAAATGAATACATTACAATTTAGTTTCTAAATTGTAATGTATTACAAAATCTTGTTTTACAAGATTTTGAAAAACTCCTGCCAGGTTGGAGATTTTCGAAAACTCTGTTTTTGCGTTTACGTGTGGATGAGGAATACGGAGTTTGTCACGCAACATCAAAGGTGTGTGCCTTTTTTGACGTCACGCTGTGCGCCATGTTATTGTTTACATGAGATGAATTTCTACAATAACAGATAGACAAAATACTGCTACTGTTAATCTGACTATCTTCAGTTTTTACACGCTTACATATACACACGCAGTTACTGTCCCTCCATTTAGAAAGGCAGAGACGTCACGGCGTAATTTTACATGTAGTTGTTTTTCTGTGTAATAATATTCAACATTGCTATCAATACATTTTTCAAAAAAATGCCTCCATGTGCAAAATGGGTTCAAAAACAAACAGCTGCGGGATACTGTTTGTCCGTGATTTGAACCGGGGGAACAAATGGTGGCAGGATCAGCCTGATATTATTTGTATCCCACTGTAACTTTACTGTATAAACAGCTAACATCGCCAAAATTTCAGGAGCAGTTAGTCATTATAAGAAGTGTTTGTGAACTAAAAATCAAGAATGTGGGATACTGTTTGTCTGTAAGGAAAACAAACTCTGCAGGGGAGACCTACCTTGGCACTTTTGCATGTAAAGCCAAAGGGAAGATATGCTTCATCATATTTTCTAGTCTTTGGCTTGGAAGCATTCATCCAAGCATTCATTTTTTTCCCCTTTCTTTTCATACTGCCCCCCCCCCCGCAATGGCTCTGCGCCCCACACTTTGGGAACCTCTACTTTAGGAGTAGCAGCAATTTTGGGGAATCATTTAGGGATAGCAAGACAACACCCACTTCGCTCATCGGTTGGATGAGATAAAGAATAGTTTCCCAGTAACATGGTTCATAAATGTGACACAGCACAGGAAAAGCTGTCCAAAAGCAGGACAAGAATCCCAACTCTGCACAAAAACAGCCATGTGATGGAGCAATCAAGAAGACATTCCAATATGTACAATATTCGTTTTCCATGAAATTAAGATAAGATCTCTCAAAATTATGTCAGAAAATTTAAATTACTGGAATTTTCAGATGAATAAACTCCAAACAATGTGTGATTTGTACACAAATGCTCATTCAGCAAACTTCTCAGATATGAGAGGAACATCCACAGCACAGTCACACACACCTGAGGTGTGACCCATCAGCCACCAAAACGTGCCTCATTAGTGATGCTGATGACTTTTCCATTTTTAGCTTGTGGCGATAATGTTGTGTAGATTGTGATCGAGGGGAGTTTTTATCAGAAGTTTAGTCATTTATGAATGTGCTACAGAGAGTATTTATTTTGCATCATTACTAAAGCACAGTAGTTAAAAACAAAAAACAGCCATAGTTTGAGTTAAAAATGATGACTTTAAAGATTCTTTTCTTTTGCCATGCTAATGTTGTAATTAATTTATGTAATTAAGCATGGCGCAGTTTAAAAAGCGGTTTAAGGATATGGTTTTTACAGGGTACAGGGAAAAGGTAGAGATTTGATAGGGTGTTCTTGTCTAATATTTTCATGTGTGTGCGCATGCACGGGTTTGTTGGTATGGGTATATATGTATGTGTATATGTATGTGTGTATGTGTATATATATATATATATATATATATATATATATATATATATATATATATTAAATATATATAAAATTGTAGGTTGTGTATCCTTCAGGTGTTAATGGGGTTATTGAAAATGTGTATATGTGCGTATGTGTGTATATACGTAGGTATGGATAGATAGAAACATAGATGTGTATATATTAAAAAAAATAAATAAATAAATAAATTACACATAACATATAATGTAATTACAAGGAGGTATTTCTGTAGTCTATTGATACTAGATAGTGGAAAAGGGGTGGGATTAAATAAGCTTATGCTTCTTCCTGCTCCTTTTTGAACATGGACGTTATTTGGAGTTGTGGTTGCTCGTTTTCCTTTGGTTTGCTTTGTTCATTTGTCTCTTTTAATTCTATTTTTTTTTTTTTTATACTTTTTCAACATGTTCAAAATAAAGATTCAATCAATCAATTTAGTGACATAAGGTCAAAACAATCAAATAAAAAAATCTATACACATCTTAAAAACACCATCAGAAAATGTGTTCTCTTAAATGTGAAAATCCTGTACATTTTTAACAGTACTGAATTTTTTGCACAGTAACATTTGGCTGATAAAATCTAGCTATACAGATGCCTTGATGTCATCTAATTACCGAATATAAAACTAAAGTAAAGTAAAGGGCTTAATTTAAGGAACTTTTTTTTCATTCTTGCCTGAATACTATTTCATACTATTTCTGTGTTTTGCCCTTATGGTGGTGCGATTGTTTCTTAAAGGCACAGTCTGCAGTGTTAGAGTCCTGGCTGGGTATAAAAAGCTAAGAAAAAAAAACAACTCTCTACTTCTCCAAATATGATTTCTACTCTCTTTGATATCTGAGGTTTACTCACCTGCAGGTATGTGATTTCCATTTTCCCTCTCCTGTTCAAAATCTTCCCCAGACTGCTCGTCCTCACTCACGTCTTCTGAGAGGAAGAAAGCCACTTTGATAAGCATCTGATGGCAGTGATAGAACCGTATGGGCCACAAATATTTGTACCTGCACTCTGCTCAGACCGCCCTGAGCCTGAAGCAGATTCCTCCTCTTCTTCTTCTTCACCCTCACTCTGGCTGCTGGACTCTTCTTCATCTTCCTCCTCATCTTCCTCTTCCTCAGAAACAGACGCTGATGCTAAATGAAATAAGGAAAGATAAAAAAACTGTTTAAAAACTGGAAATTAACTGCAAATTAGGGCTGCACGATTAATCGTTAGAAAATCGCGATCTCGATTCATACTTATGTGCGATCTCATTTCCAAATGACAACGATTAATATAAAAATAAAAAAAAAGACGACGACCACGATTGTACCGCATTTTGATCCGGGACGTAATCTGCATGAAAACAAGCGCTCACTCTTCCTGCTCAACAAATGACAAGGGCGGAGCCTTATACCACGTGATACAGAAGCTGTGCCGTGTGATGCTAAAATTAGCAGGGAAAAAACAACGGCGAGCACGTCAGGGATGACGAGAAAGTGACAGGAGAAAATCCGTCCCGGTCAACCACCCAAACATCAATAACGGGAACCTTATTCAGCGCTTCCCTATACCCGTCAAACTCCCGCAGGCACAAAGAAATTACGGAGGCTATCACTTATCACCTGACCAAAGATTATGGCTCCCATCAACACTGTGCAAAACGAGGGATTTAGGAAAATGATCAACACCCTAGACAAATGCTACACAGTGCCGTCCCGCAACTATTTTTCTATTGTTGCACTACCTGCTCTATACACGCAGTGTCGAGCAACGGTGGAGACGGAATTTCAAGCAGTACAACATTTTGCGGCAACAGCAAAACGTGAGACATTTTGCGGCAACAGCAAAACGTGAGACATTTGTTGTTTTTATGTTTATTTATTGTTTTTATGTTCAGTCTCAACTGTTACGAAGTTGATGTGCAGTTGATAAGTGCAATAAATATTTATACTGGAAAAGAAAATCGTGAGAGAATCGTGATCTCAATTCTAAGCCAAAAAATCGTGATTCTCATTTTATGCAAAATCGTGCAGCCCTATTGCAAATCTACAGAGCCTTCCTAACACAGTGAGCTGTGGTAGATATTTGTTGTCATCCTATTCTTCTGATGATGATCAGAAGTCTTACCAAGTTTGACCAATCAACGAACATCCCTATCAATATTAATCGTCTGCTGTAGTGGAGTCTTTGACATCCATTAAGTTTAACTTTCTTAAACTTAATGGCAATAAAACAGAATTCATTTTAATAGGTACCAGATCAAAACTGACTACAATTACAACCAGTCTTTCGTTATCCATTGATAACTCTGTTGTCACACCATCCCCTCAGGTTAAGAGTCTTGGTGTCATCCTCGATAGCACTCTGTCTTTCACAGCACATATAAATAATATCACTCGGTCTTCCTACTTTCATCTCCGTAATAACCGTCTTCGTCCCTCACTCACACTACACAGTACCGCCATATTTGTCAATGCTCTTGTCACATCTCGTCTGGATTACTGTAATTCTCTTCTCTATGGTCTACCTCATAAATCCCTCCATAAATTGCAGTTGGTTCAAAATACAGCTGCTCATATTATTTCCAGAACTAGATCCACTGAACATATAACACCTGTTCTTAAACAGCTCCATTGGCTCCCAATTCACCTCCGTGTCAATTTCAAGATCCTGCTTCTCACTTTCAAAGCACTTCATAACCTTGCTCCTCCATATCTATCCGATCTTCTCCATACATACTCACCCCTTCGTACACTCCGCTCTTCTTCAGCCTCCCTTCTGTCAGTTCCACCTGCTCGCCTGACTACCATGGGACTCAGAGCCTTTAGTTGTTCTGCCCCGAGACTTTGGAATGCACTTCCACTTGCTCTACGGACCACACACTGTCTCCCCACTTTTAAATCACTACTCAAAACTCATCTATTTAGAATTGCATACACCTGATCTGTCTTAGGCCATTTTTACCTTGTTCAGTTTTTAGATTTGCTTTTATACTTTTATGACTGTTTATGTCTAAATTTTATCTACCATGTTTGCTATATATACATTTTTCTTATGTTTTTTATGGTATTGTTTACGTGTTACTGTAAGGTGACCTTGAGGGTCTGAAAGGCGCCTATAAATAAAATGTATTATTATTATTATTATTATTATTATTATCTGCTAATTGCTAAATCTGTAGGTTACAATTTAACTCACCCAGGGAGGATTCTGCAGTGCTAGTCTTCCTTTCATTATCACTGATATCCTGCAGATCAGCAAGCAGATCCTTGCTCTCAGGCTTCTCTTCTTTTGATGCTGCAGAAAAGAAAAAAATTAAAATTAGTATGAGTTACGTTGGAGCCACAATAATCTCTTAATAGTCTCAACAATAACCATTGATTAAAAAAAAAAAAACAAGAACAATTTAAAACTCACATCCGCTTTTCCGTGTTTCACTGTGATCAGACCTTTCTCTGGGAACACGTACTGGACTACGGCTGCGGTGACTTTGTTTTGGCTTGTCATCATATTCCTCAGGTAGCATCCGAGATGGCACTTTAGATGAGAAAAATTAATTAGGTAATCACTGATGCAGGTTTGCCTGACAGGCTGCAGGGTCTAAAAATCCCAATCCATCAAGTCACAGTTTAGCATTTTGAGACATTTGCTTACTTGCTTAAATACATTTGCTTCCCCAGTTACATGAGAATAAAATTATGACTCTTCTTCTGTGTTGAAATTACACAGCTGGGAAAGGACACCATGTTTAGTTACACTCACTGACCTTCTCGTCGAGTCCCTCTTTCTTTGCGTCGCTCTTCAGCCCTCCTCTCCCGGTCTTTTAGCTCTCGTTGCTCTTTCTGCTGTTCCCAGAGCTTTCGGTCACGCTCCCGCTGGCGCTCGAGCTGCTCCAGTCGGTCCCTGTGATCCAAAAAAAACCCAGCAGAGTCCACTGGAGGTCTGTTTGGATAATCCAAAGTTCACTCTTGTCACTGCTTTCTTTGGTTTCTTTAAATGGACAGTAGTTAAGTATTAACTTGAATTATTTATGTTTCATGTCTTTATTTAATTTAAAAAAAAACATCACATATAAAATTAGTGTTTTTTTAAAGGATCAAACACATTAGCGCTGACAGGATTTAACATTCTGACATGCAATCAACAAAAGTTCAACAAAACAGATTTTCAAACAAGTTAGCGTTGACAATATCAAAGAGGCAAAATTATCAGAAATTATCTGAACTGACATGAGATTATTTACTTCTGGCCAAAGTTGGTGCTCACCTCTCTCTACGTGAATGAGCTCTGGCCTGTTCCCTTCTTTTCTGCCTTTCCCAGTCTCGCCGGGCTTTGTCCTCTTCCCAGTGACGTTTCCTGCGATCGCTTTCGCGCTCTTTTTCTTTATCTTTGAGTCGTGCATGTTTTCCTGCTGTTTAAGTAACAAACAGACATGAAAAAACAGCCCTAAAAATAAAAATATGTATCTGTAAAACATGTGAAGCAGAGTCTCTGAACCTCCTTCAGCTGAGTGACTGCGATGACGTCTTTTATCTTTTCGCTTCTCCTCTTTTCTGTGGTGAGATTTGTCCTTTCTTGCTATTTGCTGTGGAGGCTTAATTGCTAGTGATTCGTCTTCTTCCCCTCTAAAAGAAACAAAGAAAACATTGTGAGGAGAGTTGCACCAATTCAGAACCAATATCTGTCTAATACCCTTATGGATCATTCCACTAAAAAAATAAAATAAAATAAATCTGTTCAGAATTGGCTTTATAACCACTTATAAGCAATAGCAGACTACTTAAAAGTCAATAATCTGCTACTATTTATATTAATTATATTATTTATAGTACTCTGTACTGTATTGTACTATATTTTGCATGTTCATAATTTTTTGCCCTTATGTTGTAATTTTGCATTGCATGTTTAGTGTGTCCTCTGTATTGTTGTGCTGTCCCAACTGATACAGCAAATTTGCTTTGCCGCACAATAACAAAAAAAGCCCAACAACAACAACAACAAAAAAACGTGACCTGAATTAACATTATACAGCAGCTTTAAGCTCTTATAACTTTGTAATAAGTTATTGCTGCTAACCTGCATGCTAGCTGTATGTTATAGTAGCTTCTGCTGGTTATGTATACTAATTTCCACATTTAAAAAAAAGAAGAAAAAGTCATGGATCAGTTTACCCACTCATAATTTCCCCCAACTTCCAAGTACCTGTCCTCCATTGAGTCTTGACGTGCATATGGCGAGTTACGAATTGTTATTTCCATTCTTTGATCCCGAAGTTCTCCTTCCTCCGGAGTGTCTCGTTTGGCTTCCCGATCATCCGCCTGTGAAGCAAGGCCCTTTGAGAACTGGCCAAGACAAGAAATCCAGAATTTGGGGTTAAAGCCTACAAGAAGACAGTGAGTACAAGAGGGCTAACATACAAAAAAAGACCACAACATTTTTGTATTTAGCAACTTCACTAATGTTTAGACAAAATTAATTAGGCTATGTTTCTTAATAAATTCTATATTCCAATCCTAAATTAACATCTGGGTTTTAAGATAAAAATGCTAACATGACAATAACTGAGACCTAAGACATTAATTCACAAATCTGTTTGTTGCATTCTGTGTCAGCATGCATGTGTAACATAGAGTGTATATTAGCTTTTAGATACTTTACATTTTTCTGGCGTTTCGGATCAGTTTTCTCTTGTAATTCTTTTCTGCGTTTCTTCTCTAGTAAGATTTCATCAAGAGTTTTAACTTTCCAGGTGTCTTTTTCGTCCCCCATCGGCGTCTGCTCTCCACCGCCTGCTTTGCAACACAAACACACAGAGGGTTCAGTACTGTCTCCTTAGCTTAGCTTTGTTTGAATCAGAGAAAGGGGCTTACCATTTGTTAATTACTGATTTAATTTACCATTCAACTGAATTAGGATCAACGCTTCAGAATCCCACCCCCGTCTTTGCTTTGGACAACTACTAATAAAAAACTGATTACGGCTTTTGAAATAATTAAATAAAGTAACGGAAGACAATGAAAGACTTGCGGATTTCCAATTTTAGCCGGTGGACATAACATACACCGTGTACACGCTGTTTAATGCCCTGGTGCAGTGTGTCGGAGAGTTCAAGTGTTGCTCAGCCGTCAGTCATTTTTACCACTTTCATATATCAGAGACGCCAACCAAGTGTAGTTAGACACGTACAGGTCGCCACCAAAAATAAAATACCCAATATTAAGTTTATATATACATAGAGCAACAGTCGAAAAGCGACTTCTTGCTAAATCGGCTGACTAAAGCGGTGGATGCTAACAAGCTAGCTACTAAACGTTAGTTAGCGAAAGCTAACATGGGGAATCACTGCTAAACAACTTCAACAGCTAATAAGATGGTGTTGAAAGAAACTACTCATATTGCCAATAATGTTAATCAATTACACACATATAGGCGTGTGCATATCTAAAACTGAAAGCATAAATGCAGTTAACTTTAAAATTATTGACCGAGCGAATGAAATGGTCAAACAAACCTGAAATATGCGCAGCGGTATTATGGCACACCGGAAGTTACAACGCGCTGGTAACGTATGTAATACTTCCGGTGTAAAACAACAAGGTCAAATATAATATAATATAATATAATATAATATAATATAATATAATATAATATAATATAATATAATATAATATAATATCACAAATCTTTATTGTAAGAATTAAATGTAAAAACTAAAGAAAGAATTCTGGTGGCTTATTTCCCAGGCTGTCTTGCAATTATAAAACAAAGTTGTATTTCAATAATAGATAGTGAAAAACAGGTGTCATTTTAAATGTCTATAAATAGCGTAAAACTAATGAAAATACAGTTAAAAGTCCAAAATGCATGCCCTCCTTCACTTTTTACAGTGCTGTACAGTGGGCCAGAAGGGAGGGAATGCAGGTCTTTTTTGATTATAAGTGCAGATATAACATCTATTTGTGCACGGAAGATCTTAGCATCTTACCAAACTACAGTCACAGAGGGTCGGGGAGGGGGCTTAAAAGCACCTTGCTGATGTAAGGTCATCGGCAGAGTAGAGCATAGAGAAGTTAACATATAATATTTGTCAAAGAAAACTACATTAAACGCTTTCTTCTCAGAGTGGAGTACATGCCTCAAAATGAGTGATTGCTGAATTTATTCATACTACAGACACCAGAGGGAGCTGTTATTCCAACTCCATCAAACTGGATCACTAACATTCTTTGCAGTGTAGCCAAAGAAAAGACAACAAAAGACATCAAATCGAGTTTTCACTGGCACAGGGGAGTATCATGAGCATCATCATTAACATTTTTAGTTCATATGTAGCCTACTATCTGCACAGGATGAAACCATAATGAACCACACTGGGGTTTATAACTGAGATAGAGTCATATAATGAGGTGAAAAAAGAAGAGCAAGATTACAGCAGAATTTATGACAGACTGACATGTACTATGGCCAAGTTATCATAGGACGCAGGGCTTTTGATCTCTGGCTTAAATTTAAAAGTGCCAGCACAGGATAGACACCTTACCTTTTGGTGGTATTGCATTCTGGGCAAAAGGGATTTTTGTGGGTTACAACAAAAACAGTCCAAATGTTTAGGCTGGTTAAGTTTTTGACTCAAAACAGTGAGGAAAGGCAAATGCAAACTGATAAGACACATGTGGATGATGACATACAGGTGAGGGGGTGATCAAAGGTTAACAGGGGAAAGTCACAGTTCACAAAAATAGTATATAGCTTTGCTGCTTATTGAATAAAAACAAAGAACTTAGAGTGCTTTTATTTTTATTTTAGTAGAGACTCAAAACTTAAAACAGAAAGCTGCTGGGGTTTGGAAAAGAATTGAATAAATATTTAAAATATACTTTGACACATGCAAAGGGGGGGCTTGAACACCTGTCCCTTTCCTGGTAGGTGCCCAAAGTGCCCTTTTGTTGACGCAATTTTTTTAAATGTGTGTGCGTGCAGAGTCCTGTCTGTGCCCCTCAACAATAATATTTAACTATTAATCAGTTTTGCTAAATAAAACAATCTGGCTTGTACTACTCATATGGGCGATTGTGGCTCAAGAGTTGGCAGTTCGTCTTGTAATCGGAAGATTGCCAGTTCGAGCCCAGGTTGTTGGTGCCAGGTTAAAATTGCCTCCAGTTATTACCTGGGTAGAACTAGCCATCCTCATTACTCCAGTTTGCAATTAATTTACTTAAGTTTGACATCATGTTTCTATTTAGAGACCTGTTATTGTATCCATTCACGTTGATAAGAATAATTTTCTGTTCACAGACTTCTATCAACACCATGATCCAATGTCCCATTCCATCGCTTTTATGATCAATAACCTTCCCTGCAAATTTGTTAATTAAAATCATCACTCCTGCTGAGTGAGTAGTACCATGCGAATAAAGAATACTTTCTGATGTTTCCAAAATGTTTCCTCTTCCTTACTAGAATGTGTTTCTTGTAAAAAAAAAAAAAGAATGTTTATATATATATATATATATATATATATATATATATATATATATATATATATATATATATATATATATATATATACACACACACACACACACATATATACATACATACATTTTTTTAGTTAACTTGCAGTGACTTTTTCAAGTGCATCTCACGGATCAATTCTTTTACTGTCTATTATTGCATAACCCTCCTTCAGGAATGCTCTTCTGCCGTTGTTTCGAGCTTCCTGCACCTTGGGCCACAGCTTGATCCGAGCTTCACGGTCTTCTTTGGAGAAGTCCTCTTTAAATTTTATGTTCAGTTCTTTGCAGACCCTGGCCTCTTTGGATTTCTTCCATACTTCATCCCTAGCTGTCCTCATGCTGAACTGTATGATGATTGGTCTTGGCACCTTGTTGCTCACAGCATTGTCTTTCTTCCCCAGTCGGTGTACTGTATCAACCATAAGCTGCAGTTTTTCCACTGACACAGGAACCACTCTTGTTAGAATGCCGATCACTGTTTCATGTGTATTCTCGTTTTCTTTCTCTGTCAGACCCAGTATTCTGAGGTCCCATCTTCTGCGGTACCGTGCACTCTCCAGACAGCTCTCCTTTAATTCTTTGTTTTCCTTTACCAGCGACTCCACCTTTTTCTTTAGCTTGTCAATTTCCTCTCTGTTTTTTTGGGTTGCCTGTGTGTTTACTTCAATGCGTTGTTCAAAGGCTTCCAACTTCTTGTCAAGCGAATCAAACCTTTCCTCGCATCTTTTTGTGAAGCCAAGTAAAACTTCATATACAGGGAGTGCAGAATTATTAGGCAAGTTGTATTTTTGAGGAATAATTTTATTATTGAACAACAACCATGTTCTCAATGAACCCAAAAAACTCATTAATATCAAAGCTGAATGTTCTTGGAAGTAGTTTTTAGTTTGGTTTTAGTTTTAGCTATTTTAGGGGGATATCTGTGTGTGCAGGTGACTATTATTGTGCATAATTATTAAGCAACTTAACAAAAAACAAATATATACCCATTTCAATTATTTATTTTTACCAGTGAAACCAATATAACATCTCCACATTCACAAATATACATTTCTGACATTCAAAAACAAAACAAAAACAAATCAGCGACCAATATAGCCACCTTTCTTTGCAAGGACACTCAAAAGCCTGCCATCCATGGATTCTGTCAGTGTTTTGATCTGTTCACCATCAACATTGTGTGCAGCAGCAACCACAGCCTCCCAGACACTGTTCAGAGGTGTACTGTTTTCCCTCCTTGTAAATCTCACATTTGATGATGGACCACAGGTTCTCAATGGGGTCCAGATCAGGTGAACAAGGAGGCCATGTCAATAGTTTTTCTTCTTTTATACCTTTTCTTGCCAGCCACGCTGTGGAGTACTTGGACGCGTGTAATGGAGCATTGTCCTGCATGGAAATCATGTTTTTCTTGAAGGATGCAGACTTCTTCCTGTACCACTGCTTGAAGAAGGTGTCTTCCAGAAACTGGCAGTAGGACTGGGAGTTGAGCTTGACTCTATCCTCAACCCGAAAAGGCCCCACAAGCTCATCTTTGATGATACCAGCCCAAACCAGTACTCCACCTCCACCTTGCTGGCGTCTGAGTCGGACTGGAGCTCTCTGCCCTTTACCAATCCAGCCACGGGCCCATCCATCTGGCCCATCAAGACTCACTCTCATTTCATCAGTCCATAAAACCTTAGAAAAGTCAGTCTTGAGATATTTCTTGGCCCAGTCTTGACGTTTCAGCTTGTGTGTCTTGTTCAGTGGTGGTCGTCTTTCAGCCTTTCTTACCTTGGCCATGTCTCTGAGTATTGCACACCTTGTGCTTTTGGGCACTCCAGTGATGTTGCAGCTCTGAAATATGGCCAAACTGGTGGCAAGTGGCATCTTGGCAGCTGCACGCTTGACTTTTCTCAGTTCATGGGCAGTTATTTTGCGCCTTGGTTTTTCCACACGCTTCTTGCGACCCTGTTGACTATTTTGAATGAAGCGCTTGATTGTTCGATAATCAAGCTTCAGAAGCTTTGCAATTTTGAGACTGCTGCATCCCTCTGCAAGTTGTCTCACTATTTTTGACTTTTGTGAGCCTGTCAAGTCCTTCTTTTGACCCATTTTGCCAAAGGAAAGGACGTTGCCTAATAATTATGCACACCTGATATAGGGTGTTGATGTTATTAGACCACACCCCTTCTCATTACAGAGATGCACATCACCTAATATGCTTAATTGGTAGTAGGCTTTCAAGCCTATACAGCTTGGAGTAAGACAACATGCATGAAGAGGATGATGTGGACAAAATACTCATTTGCCTAATAATTCTGCACTCCCTGTATATTCTCGATGCTCACCTGCTTCCCGGTAGTTTTGCTTTTCATTTTCTTGGGATTGGGACTTGGTAACGGAGTGTGGTCACCCATGGGTCTTGCGATTTCTTGTTGAAGTTCCATCTCTTCTATATCTTCCTCCTCACATGCTTCTTGCATAGCAGCAAGGTTTAAATCGTGATCGGAAAGGCTACCTGCTAGCTTGGGGTTAGCCATTTTTATTGCTCTAAGTTTATCTTTGTGTCCGTCTGAGGGTCTTTCAAAGTAGCTTCCGGGGGGTTTCGATTGCGTTCTACTTCCTTTTGGAGTAACTGTTTGTCAGTAAAGTATTTTTCAGGACATCAAAATCCCGTTTCCTAATCAGACCCGCAGATTGTACAACCGCTTATTCCGCCATCTTGGCCCCCCCGACAAATGCGTCCTTCATTTCCCCGAATTTGAAGGATGGGTCGGGTGTGTCCTTCGTGGCTCACCATATCCCAGAATTCATAGCGCGGCCCAGCCAAATTTCAGCTGCCAACAATGGTGGCTGCTACTGAGTTTTAAAATTAATCTTATTAATCTTTCTGGGTCACAAAATAAACTTTTAACATATCTTCAGGCGAGAAAGTAGCTGTGTAAATTTCAAATATCTGCTTGGTTTATCAAGACATC